GGCTGTCGATGCGGTGCAGTTCTTGACAAAACAGCGGGTCTTTCCAAGTCCTTCTGTAAATATTGTTACTGGCACCCCTTGGCAGCAATTTCGTCAGCCATATGTCAGCTAGCCGATGTCCTTTTCGGCCGATGCGAATTCGCCAAAGCGCAGAGTGTCTCCCATCCTGGATTTTCTGTAACATTTTCAGGATTTATTTTTTTAGGATCGAAACGAACCAGTATACGCTAAATGAACGTGCGAATAGGATTGCCGTTAATTTAAAAAAAAGCGAATATAAGAAAAAAAAAAAAATTAAAAAGTTACAATGAGCTTTGAAGTTCCTAATTCCAATCCATTTTAAAATGGACGAATAGCCTGCGAATGAGATGTAATCAAGGATGAAGGCTCATCCCGTATGGATTACTTGTATCGCGAGTGGTCCATTTACAAAAAGAAAGGGGGCAACCGTTATGCGTTGCGTTCGCGTTGCGTAGGACACGTGGCACGGATTACGCACGCGTTACACGGCCAATTTCGGACGTCCGGTACTGGTCTCTCGAGAGCATTGCCAATTACGGAATTAGGGACGGTGCAATTTCAATGCTAATTTACTTAATCGACGATCCTTTCTTTTTCCTTCTTTCACTCTTATTAACACATTTTCATCATTCGATCTTTCCATTTCGTACACTCTCGGAGAAGAATTTCAGGAAAAATTCATTGACGAAATGGCGCCGGCGGTTAGCAGCTGCGAGATTTCTAGTTCCACGTGTGAGTACGAGTGCGTGTTGTTTTTTCTTTCTATTAATCCCTCGTTCATTTCTGGTCATTCCTATAAATATAAATTTCTGATATATATACACACAGACGATTTATCATTCCCGCCATAGAAGGGATGCTTTACAATGGACCAACAAATTGCAGCCGTTTATTAATGGAGACGTAAACGCTGCGAACGAACAAGTGTGAAATCAGGTGCATCCATAATGCGAGGGGTGGTGCGACGCGGCGTCAATAGCTACAGGGAAAATTCGCTTCGTTTTATCCCCCAACCACCCCCCCACGTTGTTGCCGTGTCAGCCCCCCACCGATGAAAATCAATTAGACACGCAGCCGAACGGTACATTTATTGCCGATGTATTGAAAGCTACCCCTATAACGATACGCATCGGGCATACTCTCACATTTTCAATACCCTACGGCAGGGCTGCGCATTGCCAAATAAAAAACACTTCGGCGAAAAAAAAAATGGAATTTACAGAGATTTATAAATTTTCAATAACAACAATACCAAACTTAACCACCCATCGCGGATAATTGATACAGCAAATTAAACGTATGCATTAATGCACCTAAAAACGAAATATAAAAATTTTCAAAGTACCTTATTGCCTGCTGACCTAGTACAGGTAACAGTATTGACGTTAAGTTAAAGAAATTAACAGAGTTGGTATAGCGCGTGGGATAAGCTACTTGTAGGAAGTTTCTGTCGCGTAAAACAATTAACGGAGTCTTACAGAGCTCCATCCCCTATCGGCTTGTCTACGCCCCGACTATTAGTATAATCGTCGGGGGGTTGCGACCCTAACTCCCTCCTGCAGTTCGCTTTAATTCTTACCAAGTGAAGGCCACCCTCGCGCCCGCCAAGGCCCATTTTGCACTTTACTTAAACGCGAGGCACAGTAGTCGCTAGCTAGAAAATGGCACCGATGATTTCACAACGGGGAAGGAAAACGCCTGTTCACGATGCCATCTCGAAGGGTTGAAAGGTTGAAGGGCGGGAGTTTTCAAGGCCCGTTTCCTGAGGGACGATGTGTATATATATATATACACATATACATATACGGTCTATGGCCTTCGGGGGGCTAAGAGACGACTTGAAGTTGCCTACAGCATGAAGATCGGCGCCGATGTGGAATAAACGAGAGACCATAGAATCCCAGAGCGTACAACAAGGGGGAACAATGGCATCCGGCCTGGCAGGTTGATCCGCGTTGAGTAATGTTGAAATCTGGGGCGTTCCTGGGAAAGGCCAGCTGACCCCTGCCAACCCTCTTACACCCTGTCCACGAGCGCACGACCTCTTCAGCAACGAAAAGCCTCGCTGGACGAGTCACGATTTTACACCCATCTTTGAACGGATCTTTATTCGCTCTAGGGGTTCAGGAACGATCAACGAGAGTATAATTACAATTACTAGAGAATTGCTATACGTACTCACGTACAAATAGAGAATTCGAGAGAACCACTTCTCAGAGACGATCATAAATCTTGTCGCTCTTATTGAAAATGCAAATGGTATCCTTTTTTTCTTCACTGCAACATATAAAAACCATCAAATAGCATAGAGAGTAATATAAGAGTGAGTTACTGTAAGACGAGAAGTCGCCGAGTATCTTAGAGTGCAAGAGAGAGAGAGAGATATATATATATATATATATGGTTGATTCTGAGTGGTGTATACCATAATGGAGGCTGCTGATAATTTGGTATGCGCCGCAGAGTTTATTTGAATTTTATTGGCGACTCGGCTGTCACGGTAGGTCTCAGGGATGTCGCAAAGATACCGGGGAGAGACTGAGCGAATAAGATGGCGAAAGGTGAATAAGGGAGGGGGGGTGGACGAGATCCAAGAGAGGGCGAGGGGCAGGGGTTTTCGCCACAGGGGTGCCTCCTCGCTTTATCGGATCGGGAGACGCTCTTCCCGTTTCCCGAGGGGACACTTCCGCCCGACCAATATCGCCTCTCCGGCCGGTTCCAATATCTTTCTAAGTTCCAACCGGCCATGAATAAACTATTTCCGACTTTGAATATCTGAGCATTTTCGCCCGTATAGGCAAGAGCGGTATCGAGGGAGCCACACTCCTGGACGATTGATTGATCGAGTCTTCAGCCAATACTGTGGTCGGAATGAGATCTACAAAAGAAAAATTTTCAGAAAAAAATAGCTTGCATAAATTTTGGAATAAGGTTCCTTATACTTGAGGATACCGAGGGGATGATAAGGGCTGATATAAGCAAAAAGAGAAAAGGGGGGGAATGGATTCACGTGATACACGTATATAATTTTCTGAACGTCGCCTCTATGCCGCCGTGATGAAATCAAGCCTGGCATAATGAGTAGCGTTGTCTGGATGGCAATTCATCGGACTAAGGGTGGGTTATTAATATTCGGAAGGAGCAAGGCCTGAGCTGCTCCAAAGTGACAAATACTCCACTTCATCCCAACCCCGACTCAACTCTGTAATTAACGCTAATCTCCCGCCGTTCTCTGACACTTTCTCACCCCTCTCTTTCTCGTTCTCTGCATTTACTTACAACCGGGGCATGTCCACCCTATATATTTCTTCGGAGTTTCAACCCTTTGTTGGAGGAAACGGGACTGTTCGATAAAAAGGGAAACGAGGATAAGAGAAATATACGTAAAATTCCGTATCTTCCTGGATGCACCAAGTTTACTTATTCTACAAAATTTTCAAGCTTGGATATACGTATGTATGTACATGTCTAAGGGGTAGTATCGCGCTTTATACTAGAGCACGTTTCAGAGGGTACCAGCACGAGTTGGAAGGTAAGTAAGTACTGGTACCGCGAACCATTAGAGAGATGAGAACCGCGAGTGGCTTCCGTGTTTCGCCTCTCAGGGGTAGTCGCAACCCTTAGTTAGTTCCTCTAGGAAGTCACCTGAAATACTGCTGGGGGCCTCACCGCGTTGGCCCAGCCGACCGCGAATATCCTTGATTAAACGCAAAAAAAGAACGGAAACGTACACGGTACCCGTTAAGGGTAGCTTTTTTCAAGGGCTGTTTCCAAGAGCCCAATTGGATTGGCCATCAGAAAAGGTTGAAGAAACGTTGCTGCTCCTGACGGGGCTTCGTTTACAGCTGGATATCCAGAGCAAGAAGAATAGTATACTGTAAACAAGATTGAAAATGATGTTTGAGGGATGATTCAAGATTTTGACTCTTATACGTACTCACTCGTCTGTGTTACAATGATGCTGTTTATTTTAAATATGCCGGAGCTGTTGCCGTCAAACGGATGCGAGTGAATCGACAAAATTGTTGGCTGCTCGACGAGAGAAAAATAGAATGACAATGAGAAGGCGCCAGGATTAAGACATGTCATCCGGCTCTATTGTTCGAACAAACAAGTGGCAATAATACCATCCAGCAATACAAAAGGGGGGAAACGAGAGAGGGTTGCTCGTGGCGTCGGAGCAAATAGTCACAATTAGGATTCTGGGGGTTTAAGTAAAATTCAAATTCAATGTCTGCTACGCCAAGGTTTTACTGTAGTACCAAAGATCTATTCCCCTGCTACTGTTCTACTAATCATCCCCTTCTTAGTGGCGTACCGACTCACCTTCCAGTGTCTCAACGGCGTAGAAGTTGTACTCGAACCCCGTTCCAACCCCACGAGTTCTGGTGATAATCGAGGATGACGGCACCCGAAACAATGCGCTTGGTATTTCGCTGGCAAGGGGCGTGCGTAGGCACGACCATGGGGGTTGCTTTCTGGCACTGGGGGGTTGATGTCAGAGTTCGGTGATGTATGGCGCCTGGAGTACGGGAAATACCACGTGCCTCCTACCCTCTTCTGCAATACCAAAGATTAGGGTGCGCTCTTGACACTTCGCATTCCTTGCCATAAGATTTTTTGACCTTTACGTCATTACCGCTCTTGGTTAGCACTCTTTACGGATTGCATCTGCGAAGATCTGCAGAGGGACGAATATAAGGGTTGATAGGAATGGCATCTTTTTACCCTCGGAGTTCTCACATCTGCACATTGTAGATTACTGCTATACCTACAACAGATAAATATTGTACCATCGAGTGTTTATATCCTGCGTTATCTTCTGAATTTTTCGTACCGTTACAAGGTAATTGTAAGACATTATTTAACATACCATTGGTTGATCAAAATGTCATAGCGTTTATTATAGAAACTATTTCAACCATACACTATAAAATATTTTAGTATTGCTATAATAAAAGAAGATACACCTCGGCCAACTACTAATGTTACTCTTATCAAATTGAACATGTATTTCTCGTAATAAACATTGATAAATTTATATTATACTTTACACATTATTTTGCGCCTGCGCTATATTCAATACATCTGATCGTCTCTATGGGCCCGAGCGAACGAGATAGCCAGTGAGTGGTATTTCCACAGGTTAAGCATGAAGACTCGGTGGTCTATCAACTGGTTTTTTATTTTCATCGCGTCACTGTGTATCAACAGTAATCAGGCCAAGAATTATCATGCCGTTGTTCTCATCCATGGGGTTCTCACTGGGAGCACAAGCATGGATCTCATCAGTAACCGAATACAAGAGGTATGATCTCTCGGACGCTGTCTCTTTGTCTGTCGTATGAGATGAAAGACAATAGGCGCCACAAACTCAGCTCCTACGCATGCGTTTATTATCATCACGTAAAGCGGACTAATACGAATCCTCGTCGATTCCTGTGAAACACTGTAAAAGAAAATGCGGTTTAAAAAATAAGGATGTGTTGATGGTTTTTAGATGCATCCCGGTACTCAGGTTTACAATATCGTGAGATATGCTGGCTGGAGTAGTTTAGAACCAATGTGGAGACAAGTTGAAGAACTTGGTCAAGATATCCTGGCTATTGGTGCTGCATTTCCTGAAGGGATTAATCTTCTGGGTTATAGTCAAGGTGGTCTTATAGCCAGAGCCATTCTTCAGAGATTTCCAGAGCATAATGTAAGGAATTTTATATCTCTGAGTTCACCCCAAGCTGGACAATATGGAAGTATGATTCATTTTATATATGACATTGATATGATTTTATATAGATATAGGTGATTTCAAAATAATACTATGTTTCAGCTCAGTTTCTACATTTGTTCTTTCCGGATTTAGCGTGTGAAACTGCATATGAATTATTTTATTCTAGTATCGGCCAGCACACTAGTGTTGGAAATTACTGGAATGATCCTCATCATCAGGTAATAAAAAATTATATAATTTAAACTTTCGTCGAAGATTGAGGAATATTTTTTTTTAATTTACAGAAATTATATTATAAATATAGCAAGTTCCTACCATATGTGAACAACGAGATGAATTCAACGAGAGCTAAAGCGTATAAGGATGGTCTTACTAAATTGCGCAAAATGGTTCTTATCGGAGGTCCCGACGATGGGGTTATCACTCCATGGCAAAGTAGTCAGTTTGGTTATTACAACAGTAATGAGACTGTTGTGGATTTATACGATCGGCCAATTTATCATAACGACACAATAGGTTTGAAAACTCTTGACAAACAACGAAGATTAGAAATGTATACAGTATCTGGCATTGCCCATTTTCAATGGCACACAAACGTGTCAATAGTTGATAAATATATATTACCATATTTGGATTAGATAAATGAATTTTAATAAATTATAATGAGCAGCTAGAGTTGCCATCATTTGATCAGCTCATGATATTCGTCAATTAGTATTAAAATCAATAATTTAATAGAATTTACTAGCATTCTGCCAATGATATTTATACGTATGTTAATATACTCGCCTCAACTGACTAACAGATGATAAAAATTAGAAAATACGATCTTTTTATCTCAATAGAAGTAATACAATAATTATATTTTGTATCGCTTTGTATTAATGTAAAGTAAATGGAATAAAAGTCAGTTTATTATAGAATATTTTTTTTATTTATATTATCTAATACCCATCCATCTATATAAAAATGTTGTCTTGTTTACTACTTTATATTAATAAGTACAATATCTAAAATTTTATATATATATATATTACATTATGTTCTTGCAGCTTTTATCTTACATGTTATGTTGTAACGAGTGTTTAATTGGAATATATCATATTAGGAATCACAAATATTTGGCTTTGTAGTTTTTACTGCAAAATAATTAGAAGAGTTTATTATGTGTCAGACGTGTTATAAGATCAAGGGCCCATTGAGGTTGATCATGTGGAACCATGTGACCCGCATTGCGCACCAATACTTCTGTTAGATTTCCAACAGTTTTCGAATAACCAGCTAATTCCTTTCCAACCCACCATTGTTTACGTGGAGCTTTCTTATATTCTGCCGCTCCTGGCCATTTCAAGTTCTGCACATAGTTTTCGGTTAGTGGATAAGCCACAATGATATCCAACTGTCCATTATAAAGAAGAACTTTGTAATGCTGTGTAAGATCTGATATTAGGACTGCTAAGGATTGCATTACATCATTTTTCAAATGTTTTTCAACTGTCGAATCTTCTGCATGGAAAGAACAATTACCAACATGAATTGCACGTCTGATATCAACCTGTTGTACCCATTCGGACATCCAATTAGATTCATTTGTATCTTGAGTGTGTAGATAATTGAAATAAAAATCAAACCCTGTTAAGTTTTTGAATAAAGATGGGGTAGAGGTTAAGTCTCCATCAAGAAGCTTATCAAAGATTTCAAATGCTTCCTCAAATTTTTTCTGTTGTATCAACTCCCGACCTTTTTTCTCATATGCATGAAACAGATCCCTACCATTAAAATCAATTAGTCCTAACTGATATAAATAGTCACCATATAGAAGCTGATTCTCAGGGTCAGTTAAACCATTACCAATAGCTAAACCCTTGAGATTAATCTTTAACTCGGCTTTGATATTAAAATCTTTAATTGCATGAGACACAGCAGGAACATATTTTCCAGCGTAAGATTCACCAGTTACATAGAATGGATTTTGCTGCAGTTCAGGAAATAGTTGGAAAAATTGTACCAGTGCAGTGTGAACATCTCTGCCAACATGAGTTTCATTTGTAGCATATCCTTTATCATTATCAGTGAAACTAAATCCAGTACCAACTGGATTATCAATGTAAATAACATTGTGGGATTTGGTCCAAGAATACTTTCTCATGGTGAGAGTTTTATTTGAAGTGATAATGAATGGTCCATTTTCAACAAACAAACCAAAGAGAGACGTAGCTCCTGGACCACCTTGTAGCCACAGCACTACAGGAGCGTCTTTGGGATTAATCTAGAATAAATAGAAGCACATTTAGGAAACACAAAACAGAAAAAAATTGTAATATTATACCTGGGCTGGGAAGAACCAAAAGAACATATTTGAGTTATACTCCTTGTTGACTGTAAAGTATCCAGAATAACTGTTAACGTCCAACATCGCATTATGCTGGACGATTGCCTTTGTTCTTGCTTCATCAATTTTTCCACTCTGTATAAGAGGAGTCAGGATTAAAGGAGTTCCAGGATCTTCTCCATCCTTTAAAGGATAATCTTTTATCTTGGGATAGACGTTAATGAAGCCTTTTCCATTTTCACAAAATGATAACAGAAGTAAGGAAATGCAGACACCGAGGAACAATAGCCTTCCCATTTTGACGATCACGCACCAAATGGAATCACCACTTTATCTTCTTCAGCACTGACTGGCACCGACTATGACCACCGTTTCAAATTTCACTGTTAGTACCACGAGCACGATTGTGTCTCATTCTATTGCATGTAGAAAAACAGGGACACAACGATACTCGTAAACCTGGCAGTGAATTTGAGAACATACTCTTAGCTATATCTGCCAACTGTTACAAATACGGTTTAAAAATGCAATTTCATTAATCTAATGAATTATCACACTGAATTTATTTAGTAAACGTACTAATTTTAAAATGAGCAGAAAGAAGTGTATTGTTATAATAGAATAGTTGGTTAATAAAAGTTGAAAGTAAATGAAATATTGCACAGGTTGGTACAAATTTCAAAAGTAACGGCTGATTTGAATAAAACTTATCGGGTATGTAAACGGCGATTGAATTTCGTGAATACATATTCTGGAACTCTACATTTGATGTGTCATAAATAGCCGGTTATTTCTGCGCATCCACATCTTCTCAGTTGTGTGGTTTACGAAGCGAGACGTCCGTTACAGTCCATTACTTGAAATTCATATAGAAAGTCAGAATGTGCCATTTAAGAGTGTAATATCTAAGTGGCAATTTTTTGGTAATATGGATAGAAAGCTACCAAATAATCTTACAAGTTCTCCCTGTGAGTAATTGGAACAAGCATTTAAGTCAAACGATATATCTTTTTTTGTGAGAAAAAATATATGAAATTTAGGCAATCACTTTTTTTTATATTTGTAAGAACATTTAAAAATATTTTTGTTTCAGATGATGCACCATCTGACGCGGAAACAGCACCTGCAAACAACTCATTCTTAGAAGACTTAGATTTGGTATCCGATGGTTTAAATTCTGGGTTTGCTGTTCGTCATATTGAACGGCATGTTACAACGCGAAACTCCAGATCTCCAACTGTAGTGGCAATATCTGAGGAAACGGAATTTGGGCATCTTTTGGAACAACAGAATGTTACAACTGCTGTAACACCAACTTCGTCAAATGCAAAACCTGTTAGCATAAACAAAGTTACATGCAGAGACATTAAAAAGAGCAGCAAGGAGACGAATAAGGAGGTGGAAGTGAAACAACATACGATAAAGATACCTGAGAACAAAGTAAAACGACACACAGAGAATAAACGTAAAGCTGTTGAGAATAAAGTTCAGGTACAAGATAGTAAATCGAATAATCAAGATGTGAAAAATAAAGTTACTGAGGCCAAACTTAAGCTTAAAGATCGAGGGAGATATTCTGATAGTTCCAAAGAGCAGAGTCATGGATCTTCTGATAATTCAAGCAAAGAGAATAATAAGCCTGATGTGTCCAAGGAAAGATCTCTTCATTCAGACACTGTGAAGAATCGTAGTCGTTTATCGGACAATCATGCAAAGAAATTGGAGCCTAAGGAAATTCCAGAACCGATAGGTCTGTTAAATGCTATCAAAGAATTAATCAGTACTTACACAAAGCAAGAGAGCACAAAAATACTACGAGCTATGCAAGAGCTTCATATAAATACACAGGCGAATCTTATTAAGAATCTTCTTTTTCAAACCGATGAAATCATCAGGGAAATGCATCCTAGTAGTGAGTCTATACGTTTTAAGGAGCTAGTTGAAGAGAATGAGAAGCTTCGCGAAGATATTACAATCCTACAAATTAAAGTCGAAGAACTCCAGACAAAAGTGTATGAGTCAGAAGCTGTTAAACAGGAGAATGTTGCATTGAAGATTAAATATAAGGAACTGCTCGAGCAGAAGATAGGCTGAAAGTGTAGGGCATCTGTCAACAAATGGTGAGAGTATCTAAATTTCTCTTAAGTCTCACAAAATATCTTATTATTTTTACATTGTTAAATATTTCATTGTTGTGGTGCTAGACTTATTGAGGGATTGATTAGAATCTTTAGATTCACTTAATGATTATGCTGCTACTCAGCAAGTGCCTTATAGGTATTAGATGTCCTTAAACTTAGTGGTATAAATTTTGTTAAATATTTAATAAAATAATTTGTACTTTTATACTGGAATATATTTTACAAGAAATGCGTTAAAGTACGCCAAGTATTTGAAACAGTATGTTATATATTTTGAATTGACAATCTAAAATATAAACACAGTAATATAATATTTACAAACATCAAATCGATTCACAGTGCATTGATTTCCGTGCATGATTGCAGCAATTTTTTAATTATTTCCTGACCTTTTCATTCCTTTCTTTTTTTTTTTTAAATGACAATATGATCACTTTTCAAGGCACCTATATATTAAAAAATTCTAGTATATTTAAAACAAAACTATAAAATACACGGATAAAATTTGATTCTCGAATCGGAGCTCAGGTGCAAATGAATTACTAGGGTTCATGCTGTATTATGCAAAGTGCATTATTTGCAAAAACTTTAGAACCTTAATTACAACTCACGCAAACTACACATAAATATCTCGCATTATTATGTAAGAGATTTCGATAAAAAATATATAAATATATAAAAGTGATCGCGCCTCTATAAGATTACAGAAGTGTTAAGTATCGCGCCTGTACGAAATCGCATTTTGCTACACCTAAAACTCCCAAAATTGAAAAATCTTGCAAAATTTTTGACACGCAAATAACTATGCAACTATAAGATCTTTTAAAAAATATACGAGATAATTCGTATAGAATTCGTACACGACGTACAGCATCAAGATGTGGTGAGACTTCGTAATAAAAGAAACATAGAAAATTTGGGCGGAGCTGAGACTTTTTACGTCCTTTGCAAAATGGTGCTAAGAAATCCTTATACGGACGTTTCCTTTTTTTTTTATTTGCTTTTATCTGCCTTTTTAAATGCTCGCTATTTTTTCTCATTACCTTGATGATTGAGAAGCTCTTAGAAACTTTAGTTATTTACTCCTGATTTTCAGTTAGGCAAAATGTATTAAGATTACGAAAACTTTCGATCGCAGAATCTTTAGGTCTATTGCAAGTCATTGTTTCATTACAATAGTAAACGCATCGCATATTAACGGGAAGCGTAAAGGCCAATATTGTGTTTTTGTTTCGACGAATACTCAAAAAGCCGGATACGCAATGACTTTTCGATTTCTTTTTTATAATACGACGCGGAGCGCAGTCCTTCGAGATTCAAGCTTTTGATGAAATATTTTTTTGAAGACTCTTTGTGCAATTTTCATTAGTCTTCAATTCTCACTGCTCACTCAAATTTTAGTTATTCCATGAATTCAATGTATTTGAGTAAAATTTTTTAAATTGCTAATTGCGATTGCTCAGTCATCATTTAATTCATCGCGATTTCTTCTGCGGCTTGTGTCTTCGTCAACATCATCGTCATCATCATCATTGTAGGCTTCTTCGCCAGGTTCGGGTGGTCTCGTCCATCTGAAAAATAATGCCATTAGTAATTTGAATATCCAATATAAAATCAAAATCTATTACTAATTTTCTTATGAATATCTCAACATACCTAATCAATGTTTCTGGTGATCTATAGAGGAAGATCAATTTGGCAAAGAGGTCTTCTTCGAGACAGAGTTCACCACTTTCTCGTACCAAATAAATATCCAAACAAAGTCGTAGAATTCTATCTACATAAGGCAGATCTTCGAACATAATCTTCGGTGCCATTTCGCTCACCATTTTTCTCATCATTTGACTTATCACGATCACAGCTGTTGTGTACAGTCCGAGTATTCTAAAATTTACAGAAATCGATAAGAAAATTATCTCACTCCACATAATTAATAGCTGAAGAACTGTTTACAAGGATTAAACAAATATTTTGCACTTTACCCGAATCCAGAAATAAAGCTGAGTCCCTCAGGAAATGCTTTGTCGTTAAACAGGAACATCATGATATACTCACAATCATTTTGTGGTATATTTTTCAACAGTACATTATGTATGAGATCATTGCAATTCTCACGAACATTCCACCATTGCTGTTGAGCACAACAGTCCTGATTTCGAGAAAGTTGAAGGCTGATATTTCGATACAGATAATCTTTATTCTCCTCGTCTTCTGGTTCAGCTAAAAAAATAGAACAAAAAACATAATTTAATCTCTTATCTTCAAACATGCTAATGACTCATTACTGATAATACATACGCAAAAGTCGCGAATGCATCAACTGCGGTACCACATTCGTTAACCTACTGGTGACCTTTAGGAATTTTGGAAATGCATTCTGCAGCACTATGATACCATTAGTAGAGGAAGTATTATTCGTAATGGATAACATATTAGCCAGAGTTCTTCTAACTGGATTAAATACACCATTCACATATGGATCTAGTTTTATATCTCTTTTCGTAGTTGTTATAGGACTGGCATCTTTTGCATCTGTTTTTCTTGCTACGGTCCACTCCACATGGATGGTGACTATACTATCAGACTCTAATTCAGCTTTCAGTCTGTAGATAAAAATTATTTGTATCATTACATTTAGTGTTTTTTAATGAAAAATTTCTTTTCTCTGGACAGACCTTGCTCTATCCGGTGGTGAGATGGCCCATAGTTTTCTGGATGATCCACTTAGTTTAACGGCTGCCACGTCTGTGTAGATGTAATTCTCCAAGAAGGTGATGGCTGACTTATCGTTGGCGTAGTTATTTGTCAGATTTTGAAAGTCAGCTTGACTGTACCGTAAGATGGAACTATTTTGTGCGGACATCGTGTAAATTGGCTCGTACGGTCCTACTCGTATCTTCATGGAAACTTCGTATGGAAGATTTGAGACTCCCACTGTTCCACCCAGTGCGAAGAGAAGCAGTGGGAACCAGATGAGACCGATAATCAAGAAGAGAGCTCCTCCACCTACCATGTACTTGCTTAATTGCTTCTTTTTTACTCCTCGAGGTTGTGGATAGTCAGACTCTACTCCACGCATACACTGTAATGTCAGATATGCTTAGAATTAGTTTTCCTTGTTTATATTAAATAAATTTTTTATTAATTAACAGTCGATGGGTTAAATGTGTTTTGTTTTGATCACCCTGGTTATTCGCTCTTGTCTTTACGCAGCTGTAACTAAAAGTTTTACATCAAAGCGGATTTACGTATTCATGATATGGAAAGCTTATAGTTAGTTAACATCAATTGGTGTATTTGATTAGGCATCGATTATCCTAAGAGTTACTGATGTCGTAATTTTGACGGTTTTTTGATTTCAATCTCGCATCACCTGAAAAGCCGTTTAAAAGCCTACAATATGTTAGACGAATTTGATATACTTATTTTAAGGTAAACTTATAAAAGCCAGGATCGAAGATCGACTGGATTATACCTCTGCCTGTAAATTAAAATTGGGGAAATCTCATACAAGATTGAGGAGTACGTTTCGATGATACTGTTAAGCAATTTTTTTGGTTATTGATAAGGATCAGCATTTTGTTTTACCTTGATTTGGTAGATGCTAGCAAAAATATCTTCCATCTTGAACCAATCCATTATGGTCATTGATGTATCTGTCCATATCCAATCCATAACTGCTCGTAATTCGAATAGGAATGGTACAAGCATAAATCTGAAAATTCATTGCTCGAAAAAAATGGTGTAACAAAAAATTGGTCTATACCGAATTTCCAAAAACTCACCCTTTAAATAGAAAATAATTGACCACGCTGTACTTTTTACATAAAAAGTTACCAAGTATTCTCGTTGGGTAACCAAGTCGCAATTGATGTGCTGCCAGTAGCAGATAGAAGCACTTGACCATGTACCAAATTTGTGGTGGTAATTTTTCATTGAATTGACGCTCGGTTACACTTGGTAATATAAAGAACATCCAGATGTGAATTCCAAAAATTAGGCAATACTGGAAGATCAATTTGCCGAGCATCGATTTTCGCAGAAATAGGGCACGATCGATGACGATCAATGCAAATTGCAAAAGTAACATTAACAAAAATGGCATCGGGACTCGATTCTCAGCAAGATAGGCCGTTACACCTCCGTCTCCTTGTTGAGTCTAAAATTTGAAAATAGCAAAGAATGAATCTCATTCAGAAAGGTAATAAACTTTTTTTTCTCCATTTGTACTGCATAGTTCTACTTACTCCAAAGGCGGAAAATCCAAAAATGATCAGTAGAAAATTGAAAAAATCACAGAGAAACATGTAGGCGTAAACATTTGTCTTTTCCTTGCCTGAGGAGCTCAGTATATTTTTGAAAAATATTTGTACGGGTTCTAGGTATTTCATAACTCTGAAATATTGAAAAGAATGAAAATTTCCTACATCGCTCAGTCGCATCTTCTTAAAACTTACGTCTCATTCATTGCCAATCCCAACTTTTCACTGCAATCCCCCTCCTCGTCTTCTTCTCGTGACTGCATTGTGACAAGTCTTTCGTTTTCATCTGTAGAAATATTTTGAATTTCCGATGGTCCATCAGTTCTTTGATAAGGAGACAACAAAGCACCCTTCGAAGTCGTTTCATCCCCATTGGACCTGTTGCCATAAAAACTCCAATTATTTATATTCTTCGTTCTCAATTTTATTAAAAAAAAAAAAAAAAAAACGACACCTACTTGCTCCCTTCGTTTTGCCAATTCAATTGTGCAACTTGATCGCCCTGACCTCTGTTTTGAGGCTGATCATCTGTGGGAACCATAGTCAATTTTGTTGGTGTTATTTTCCTAGGTAAGGATGACGACGTCCATTGCCCAAGAGACTTCAGCATGAACCTGTAAAACCAAATAGTTAATTCATCGGATCACAAAGAAATATGTAAATAAATAATTTATAGATTACCTATGAAAGAAAACCATTAGCAACAATAATAGATCCCATAACGCATAATTCGGTTTTCTTTCCACTCCAATGATTCGTGGTGAGACAAGTGGATGATTTGGTAATACTGATTGGTTCCATGGTATCAGCTCCAGTTGGAATACACACTTGACTAGAACGATTACCTAAAAGTAACGATGATAAGTAATAATGCTTCTTCCGCCAGGTATACCTAAAATTATCATTACTGTACCTCTGTGTAGGCGATGAGAGTAACCCAAAAAGTTTTTGAAGGTCTTGGTATAGTGAGCGAACCCCAAAAGAATACCATTAGGGGTAACGGAATTGAAAGTACAGATGCATTTTTGATTTGATGTAGAAAGACAAAAAAATAACAGAGAAGTGCGGAATGGGCCAAAATTCCAAACCACATAGAGGCAGCCAATTGAATGATTGGTGGTTGATCAACTTCCGACAATTCAGCCTCCTGATCCTCTTCTTGTCCTTGCGTTAGTTGCGAGAAGATGGAGCTGTCCCATAACATATCTTCGTCGGTTAATTAGTTCATAAAAAAACAGCATTTATACACACAGATTCGCAGACTGGGCCTAACTTGCTTCCAAGAGTTAAAAGAAACTTCATTAAAAGATTTTCCATAATTCAACGCAATGAATACAGACAGGTAGCAAGTTGACCGTCCAAGAGAGTATTGTCAAGTATTTAATTAATGAAAAATTCTTGAATAAATACTCCCTCAGTCCGTGAAAAAAATAATTAAAGCACACACAAAGCTCAGCCCGGGAGCCGTGGCATTAAACCTGTAAGTGAAATATGAGAGATTTAATTAACTAATAGGATGTCTGTTAAAAAGAAATAATGCAACTCTTACATCCTTTCTCTTTTTCAGCATCACAGAGAATTTTGTACACCATGCGAAAACGTATCCGTCATATGTGACTAATTGGAACAGGCGAAAACGTCTCTTGCACAGTGATTGCAAATTATTTTTTAGAAAATCATCTCCAAGGAGAATTCGTATAGAAACAGAATGTGTGACAGAAGTGAAGTGTCGCATGCGCGGGAATTGCGTGCAAGTGCATGAAGATTAGCCATAGACTGAGGATCGATAGATCGTATAGTCTTTATCGACTTTTGGTACCTAGAGGAGGACATGTCCAATCCTCGCTCCAAACTCGGCGCCAGAATACGGATGTGCGGAACTGTCAGCGAGCTCTCCTTCCTGATACAGACAATACCACTCTCTTTCTACTACGTATTACTTTATCATTGACTCAAAAGAAGAAAAAAAAGACAAAGGAGGCAACCACGAGATAAAGAATTACTTCAGATATCTAAAATAGGAGATTAATCCTCATATTAATTAAATTATAATTTTATTATTGAAGTTTTATTAAGCCGTATTTCTTTTTATGTTATGGGGATGATCAATCCTCTTGTTAATTCACAGGTATCTTTGGCTACAAGCATGTCTGGGTAGAAGCAACCTACCTTTCATCCTGATTACGCGATTGGCTAGGTCCTTCTGCAGCGTCCGACTGGTCCTCCGTACTTCCATTCGTGGTCGATCTGCCAGAGCGAGCACATTTACTACTAGCTGCCAAGGCCTATGGGATTTTGTGGGGCAAGCGCAACTACTTTCGTCTGTACAGCCACCGCCTAAGCGCGGTGCTATTATTATAATATATTATATTAATAATAGTCATTGCTCTAGACAATTCTTTTTTTAGGAATTTTCATCCCTCGCAGGGATTCTTTACCTTGGATCCCTTTCCGAATCATCCTGTACGGTTCGAGACTAGATACATATGTGACATGTGGGCAAGACATCTGTATGACTTTACGCGACAAGCCAAGACTGCTAAATGTAGGCTACTATATATATATATATATATATAATTTTTCTTTTTTAAGATACATCAAAAGTTACCTCTTGCAAAAATCATAAATTTGTGTAGGTATTTAAGTTTGTATCTATCTAAGCGAAATAATTCTAGGGTCCATTAGAATGATGAACATTTCTTTTAGATTCTTTAAAACGATTCTTACCTTTGCTTCACTAATGGAATCGGTTGCCATATTTGACTTATGCCAAGTCGCGTACCCATGCGGAAGTCTGGTTTTCCCTATAATATATTATTTATAATTAGTATAATTATAAATAGAATAACTCGTAATATTTAATGTGTTAAGTTCGGTACCACTAACTTTTAAGATTTTCTTCTCTTTCGCCAGTACTTTGCGGATGTATCTGTAGTCTCTTGAATACTGATTAAGATATCTCGTCATGGAGACCATCGAGCTGTTCAAAAAGGCCCAAGCGAATTTGAAATAAGTCAAAATCGAAATCTTCTTTTGATCTTCCGGCTTGTCCTCCTCGCCTTCGTCGTCCGACTGTTCCGGAGTTCTCGCGACGTCTTCCGGTTTTCTTTCTCTGTCGATCTCCTGCACATCCGCCGAAGCCAAACTCGTCGGCTCCCTTACCTAACATTTATCAATTATTTATATATGAATAAATAAATTAAATTGTTAGATAAAATAGCGTGCCGCGTACATCACACCAATGTTATTTACACTTTTAACAATATGATTATAGTTAAACGGCTACGTGAAGCGAACAATTACTGCTAGCTTGGCTGAAAATTATAAAAAGCAAATTATTATCGAGAAGGATAAAGAGGCCATGTGTACCAAATTAAGGGAAGTCGAAGTCTCGGAGAGACTTCCGGCTAAGTGAGAGAGAGAGAGAGAGAGAGAGAGAGAGAGAGAGAGATTAAAGAGATTGTCATCTTAGTGAAGGAAAATATGGTGACAGGAAAATATAGGTACCTCCATTGCCATGACAAGCCAACAAAAATATAAATTTCTAAAAAAATTAAAGAAAATACATTTTGAAAGAATAAAGAGAGAAAGAAGCATTCTAAATGAGCAGCACGTAATGACGACTCATTTACAATAAGTTAAAATCATTCGATCATGATCCTCTGAATAATTTTCTGAATAATCATCGAACGATCTTTGCTCAATTGTGGATAAAATATGAAAAATAAAAATAATGATAGACGCCAATAACAAAAAAGAAAAGCACAGAGTACACAGAATAAATATACAAATAAAATACTGCCGTAGACAATGAAGTATTAAATATAAGAAAGGCAATGGAGGACTGGAGTGCTGTAGTAATGGGCATGCAGGCTTAAGGGAGTCTCACATCGGTGGCCGCGGCAGTGTCGGTCTCGGATCGTGCGCTCAGATAAGACATTGATGATTTCTTGCGAGTCATCGGGACGCTCCGACGTCGTAGGCGCAGGGCGTCCTTTTCGGTACCTCCGTATAGGGCGACGTGCGTCGCTATCTCTATGTCTGTCTTAATCAGCGTGGTCATCAGCTGCAACCACCACTCACTCGTATCACACATATTGTATATTGTACATGTCGTTGTGACGGATTGCGCAATCGTTGGACCTAACGTTTTAGTTATAAGGGAAAACAAGAATCTTTGGGGGGGGGGGGGGGGGACAAAAGG